CTTGTTATTCGTCATTCAGTTGTCTCATCCTTTTACCTTGACTATTCCTAAAGTGCTCCAAAAACTCTTACTCATCTAGTTTTTTTTCCTCAAACATAAGTTCTTTGGAATTTGCTTCCTTCATCTTGCTTTCTTAATTCATATAATTTGCAATCTTTTAAGTCATCTGTCAATCATTATTTTGCTCTGTAAACTTTATCTTTTTTTTTCCAGTAACTCCAACTTTAATAGTGGTTACTTGCAGCCTTGTTGGAAGCGAAGATGTTGAAAAAAAAAAAGTTAATCATGGCTAAGAGTAACCTAGATACTATATGATTTTTATTTTGGCCTCAACAACTATCTGAGAATAAGTGGAGTATGGTAAACTGATGCTCTACTATTGTTAAATAGTTAAATAGAAGGGAACATACTACATGGACCCTTGCCTGCTGTGCCTTGGTGGTAAACGGAAGCCTGTGCTTTGTTACTTTTATTGTTATGAACACAAAAAATATTAACTGAAAGTTGCTCAGAGAGAAATTTTTTTTTTTAAAAACTCTTTTCATTCCTCGATGGTTCTTTTTGTGGGAACCAATCAAGGATTTTAGTAACAAATTCTGCTCATTTTTAGTGTTGAAGGTATGGAAGTAGTTTAATATATCCAATAATAATTTAATATATCCAATTAATATATCTTTTTGTTAATATTCTCAACACAAAAAAATACTTTTATGCTGTGTATTATTACAAATTTTACCTGAGAAAATGAAATTTTATAACTATTAGTAACATTGAATACAAAATAATATAATTCCTATTTCGGTTAAGCTATACAGTACAATAAACAATAAGAGCAACTGCCTAATATCATCTGTTACAGTCAGTTGCGTAGTTATATCTGCAGACAGCATAAGAGAAATTTTTGTGCCAAAAGGGGATAAGTCAGTGACTCAACTCCTCCTAGCATGAACAGTTCTACAATGGATTGCAGTTACTGTGGTAACCAAGCTTCTGACATATCTAATATTGTCATAAATAGTTGAAACCTGTTCTTAAAACATCAAAACCATTATTAACTCAATTTTCAATTTTCATGACTTATCTCTTTTTAGTATAAAAATTCCTCTTATGCTGTCTGCAGAGGTAGTTATACAACTGACTGCAACTGATGATAGACAAACCAGATTTAATTATAAATTATAGTAAATAATTTAACTATAAGCATAAGTTATAAATAATATAATTATAATTAATAGTAATGTTAAAATTTATAAGCTTATTATTTTAAATTTTTATTGTTATCATTTAGTAGTTAAAGTAATTTTATTTGTTAAGAAGTCTAATTATGTTATTCATAATCTCCCTGTCAAATCTAAACTTTTTATCATTGGTATTTTAAGTGAATTGACAAGCTCATATTTGTCTTTTGCTTTAAATATTTTGTGCATCTGGATCCCCCAGTCTTCTCTTTTCTAAAATTGTTAATTTAAGTTTGATGATTTTCATATGCAAAGTTTTTTAGATTAGGAACTAGTTGTAGGTCAACGGGTTTAAAAGCCAACTTGTTTTTGTTAGTAATGATTTTCTTACTTATTAACATAATCTCTTCTGTTACAAAAATTGTTTGTTATGTATATTATTAAAATATGTGTTACTTTTGTCACCAATTAATCATATTCATGGATTTCATTTCAATGAAACCCAAGAGTTTAATTAATTGGCGTCATACTCTTAAGTTTCATTTCAATGTCATATTTAGACCTTCAATACATGCATTCAATTCAGTTACGTTTATATGCATTGCATCAGATTTTGGTCGGTGCCATGTTGCATCTTCTATTTTTTGGTCAACTTGCATTATCACAACTCCTTTTGCCAGCAAACTTGCATCACATCATACAGTTAAAGATGAATTCGGTTTAACATTCTATACATGTTTTGTCAGATCATCTTTAGAAGGCAAACCAGATACGACTATCACATTTAAGATCAAACTAGATTTAAACATGTTTGATGGTAAAATGGTTAATGCTCTCATTAATACTCCATCCTCCCAATCATATAATGTTTGCTGAGCTAAGCCCAGTGAACTTAATAACACAGCATTGATCAGATTTAAACCAATTGATAAAAAAGCTTTCTCTTTGGGCCTTTTTACTCTGCGTTGCATTAAAAAGTAGTTTGCCAAATACCCTGCTGAAAAAGCATTAGTAAAAAATAGAAAAGATTACTTCAAGGTTTAGAGAGAAGCTAAGTCTTAAGTTAATATGCCCAAACAGGGTTTTGGCAACACTAACGATGGGAGAACTACCAGAAGGGCATTTGAAAATGCTGAAACTTTTACTGATGAATGGCAGTAGATGTAATTATTAGATTAGATGTAATTATTTATATGTTCCTGTTATGAGTTGAACTCTAAAAGTTTTGGCCATTATTGCTATGAAACTACAGCTCTTATGCTCAATTATACTTATACTCAAAAACTATTGCTGGTATGTAACTCCCCCAACTGTTCATAAACTCTTTGAACATGGTGTGCAGATATCTGAGGCATTAGAACTGTAAATTGGTTACTACTTTTAAGAGTCACTAGAGGTTCTGAACAAGGAAATTTGCAAAGCTAGATTGAAACATATAGATATCTAAAAAGAATGTTATGAAAAACCAGTACCAATACCACTTGATTAGAAGTGATCCTGTAATATCAAACATTTTTTCAAAAAATACAAGTTTAAAAATAGAAAAACATTTTTTGAAGTTTTATCTTTGTTAATGCCATAATAATGAAATAAAATATTATTAACACAAGGTTTTATTTTTTCTTGAAAGAAAAATTAGATAAAATAAATATTTATTTTGTATTTAATATATTTAAATATTATTATAATATTATTTGTATTTTGATTTTTTGAATCCAATTTTTCTTTTTAATCAGTAAATGTTTTGGTTTGAGGAATATAATCTTATGTTAAAGTCAGTCTTTGTGCGCGTAAAAGACTCTAAGACACATACACATGTGTAGTACGAGCCTTAGACACAAGTAAAATTTATATTAAAAAATATGTGGTATTTTTTTTTATGGTATTTTGGATCAAGTAATCTGATTTTTTTATTTAAATCAAATTTTTCCAGCATAAATGACACTTACACTCATAAGTGTGTGATGTGCACGTCATAGGTACACGTAAAAAATTTTTTTTAATAGCAAATTTAAATTTTTTGACCAAAAATACGATAGTATTGATGTATCACATGTTTATATATGATAGTTATAATTTTTGCTGCTTTTTCACCTTTCTGACACACTGTGTGGCAGAGCAGCAAGCATGTTACGTGTTGGTCTGTAGTTATATTGTTTATTATGAAAAATAAGGTCATCTGTTAAATAAATTGCTTTGGCTGTCCATCTTCATATTTCTGAGACTTAGGCACCCCCGGTTATCTTGTAGATCAACTCATTTAAAAGCGATCTTATTTTGTTAGTAATGTATTTCTTACTTAAAAACAATCCCATCTGTTACAAAAAAAATTGTTTGTTATATATATTATTAAAAATACATTATGTGACTTTTATCACCCATAAATGATCATTATACGAAGCGTTATAACAATAAAAAAATACAATGTGAGACTTTTGTCAGTAATTATTGACAAAAGCTATATATAATTATTGACCAAATAATTATTGAGCAAAGCTAATTAATGACGAAAATCAAATTCAAAACACTAGTTGCTTGTTTTTACAATTTTTCCAAATTTTAAATATCTCTATTTAAATTCAGGGCCAAATTGGAGCAGACAAATTCAATGTGGTTGCACAAAACTCCTTAATTTTTTCAAGGTCTGTTTTGAAAAATATAGCGATTTTGAACAACTTTTAAAACAACATTAATGTTAATTATTCAAAATTTACTTTAATCAATTTAAATGTATTTAATTACAAATATCAGTCATGGACAGACCAATCACAATTATAAGTTAATTTAGGAGGATGAATAAATTTTGTGATTTTGTGATTGGGTAAAAATATAAAAGTTATTTATAGATATTTATATTTTAGCTTTCAAAAAAAATAACTTGTTTTCAAATAGGTTTTAAAAGTTCTCAAGTTTTAAAATTAAACGTCTATGAGGTGTCTAATTTGACAAACTAATAATACATTTTTCCAAGACATATCCATAAAATATAATGACAACCTTTTTTAAAATGTATTGCATTGTATTTATAGCATTTTTTAAAACTATCATTAAATGGCTCTTTACTAAATTGCCAAGATAACACTTATTTCTAAACCAAAAATAATTTATTTATAAAGGGATTATCTTTTTCCGGATATTTCCAAAATTCCTGATATTTTTTTTAACTTTTAGTTTTTCCGGATATCCAAAACATTTTCAATACATGCAAGTTGATGTATATATTTTTGTAATATATTTGTTTTTTAAACTTTTTTGCTCATCACTCAGAAAAATTATGAAAATGTCAAAAAAAAAATCAGAAACAACTTAGCTAAAAGCGAAATAAAAAAAAAAAAATGAGGTAAAATAAATACCTCATTTTTTCCGGATAATGTATTCTAACAATTTTCTGGATTTTCAAAATATAACTAGGGTGATCTATATTTATTAATAATTAGTCTGCAACCACATAAATAATAGTAAATAATGTAATTATATACAGGAATTACTTTTTCCAGATATATCTGGAATTCCGGGTATTTCTTTTAACTTTTAATTTTTTAGAATTAAAAGTTAAAATAAAGTTTTTTTAAATTTAAACTTGTATTTACAAAAGACCAAAAAATCTTTTGTAAATACAAGTTTAAATAAATATTTTGGCAACATATGTTTTTAAATTTTTTAAGTCATTACCCATACAAAAAACATAAAAAAATTTTAAAAAAATTGAGAAAGCCATTAGTTTAAAGGTAAATTAAAACAAGTATGAAGAAAAAAAATTCCTGATTTTTTTTTCTAGTTGTTTTGGGATTTAGAACAATAAAGAATTTCATTTACTTTTAGCATCCATATCCTTCTGAAGAAGAAAAGCGTATTTTAGCACAGAAGGCAAATTTATCAAGTCTTCAGTTAAACAACTGGTGAATTATTATTTTTTTATTTTTCAAACTTATTCAGTTATTATTATTTTAAGTTCATAAAGTAAAGTATTTTGTATAAAGTATTTTGTTATATAACATATATAATGCTATATATGTGAGGATAATAAAATCTCAACACCTTGTAATCATTTGAACTTTATGGATATTTTAAGTTTTTACAATTAAGTATATGAAGCCCCCGCCTTTAAAAACAAAAGGATTTAAGGCTTTAGATTTAAAGATATTCTTATCTGTTTTTTTTACTATTTAAAATCTAAAAAATGTTTCTTAGCTTCTGAACTTTGTAAGAGTTAAAAATTTGTAATCACAAATAAGCACAAATGTTTTCATTAACCAAATTAAAATTTATAAAATTGTTACAAAGTTTAATGAAAACTAATATTTGTTAAACTTCATTTACAAATTTTAACAAATATTCGACTTGTTTAAATATGATTGGCGAAGTTAAACAAAAAATGCCAGTGTATAATCACAAATAAATATTACCTAATGTAAAATTTTATTTTAGTAGCATTAAAATTTCTTTTGTAACTTATTAAGTGATGACCTACATTTTACTCAGGGTTCATGGCACTCAGGGAAAACCTGGAAAACCAGGGAAAAGTTTTGAAAATTTAAAAAATCAAGGAATACCTGGGAAAGTCAGGGAATATTTGTTAAAAATCTGTATAATCAGGGAAAACTCAGGGAATATTTTTCAGTTTTATATTTAGCTTGAAGTTATTTTTCAAAATATACAACTTGAGTGTTTATTGTTATTGAAAGTTGCTCACTAAAGTGGTTTTTTAACTTTTATATTATATAGTAACTATATGTTTAGCTAAACGTATAAATAAATATAATAATATAAATCATGACTTCAGAAAAGACTTATTTTTAAGAGGATTGATTACAACAAGATATTTATAAAGATTAGTTAGTTCCTGACGCACATGCAAAAACTAAAGCTCATTGTAAAAAATGTAAAAAATCATTTGAATTGTCCAATATGGGTATTCAGGCTGTTAAAAGTCATGCAGCAGGTATTTACATTAACTTTTTTAATGTTTTATTTTGACTTTTTTAAAGAAATGTTGCTTGATTGACTATTATTTTGTATTTTAATATCAGTTTTAAACACATTGTAATCAACTTTTATTGCAACCAGTTTCAGTTGTTTTCCTTGTTGGTTGGTTGCTAATATTGTTATTTCAAACTTTGCAAGCTAAACAGATTCAGAAAAAAGATGGAAAATGTTAGACATTTTTAAAACTTAAATGTTTAATTATTTATTTATTGTGTTTTAGGTAAGAAGCATCAGTCTGCTACAAAGCCTGTTAGTTGTTTCTTTATTAATGGAAAAGAGTTGCATGCTGAACCTTTTGGAAGTGAAGAAAAAATATCCACATTTTCCACCAAAAAACAATCAATTATTGTCTCTTTAATTAAATCATCATTATCAACTAACGCTGAGATCATATGGGCCCTGAAATCTACAATGGGCTGCTACTCTAATAACTCATGTGCAAATTTAAACGACACTTTTAAAAAGATGTTTCCTGATAGTAAGATAGCAGAAGATTTCACTATGAACACCTCAAAAGTATCTTACATTGTTAACCATGGACTAGCCCCATACTTCAAGACACTTTTAAAAGAAGAAATCACAAAGTCTGATTGTTACATTGTATTTTTTTATGAAAGTTTGAACGACATAACCCAAACTTGTCAGATGGATCTACTTGTTCGGTATTGGGATGACAATGACAAATTTAAATATCGGACATCTGCATTTCTTGGTCATTCTGCAGCTTCTGACCTTCTTACACATATCAACGAAAACGTATCAAGATTTGATTCAAGTAAAATGTATCAAGTTTTCATGGATGGACCCTCTACAAATCTGAAATTTCTAGATGATCTAAATAAACGCAGAATGGACAACGAGATGTCACAACTTATAGTTGCTTTTTGCATGTAATCCATGGTGCTTTCAAAACAGCTATCAAATCAACATCATGGAATATTAAAGAAACTTTAAAAGGGTGTTGGCAAATTCTTCATGATAGCCCAGCTAGACGTCAAGATTATGAAACACAGGTGCAACAAAATACAGGTGCAACAAAATCAAATCACAGGTGCAACAAAAAAAACAAATCACAGGTGCAACAAAATACTTTCTTTTTTTTTTGCGGAACAAGGTGGGTTCAAAGTAAATTTGTTGCAGATCGTTGCATTGAAATCTGGCTTAATATATGTAAGTTGATTGAGTTATGGGAAAAGTTACCATCTTCGAAACAACCTAAATCAAAAGCTTTTTAAATGTAAAAAAGGCTGTTAAAGACAAACTTATTATTTCAAAATTTAAAGTTTTCAGCTTTGTTGCAAGCATATTAGAGCCATATTTGTTGGCATACCAAACTGACAAACCAATGATTCCATTCATGTATAGTGACTTAGAAAGACTGTTACAAACCATACTGAGCTTGTTTGTGAAACAAGATGTTATTGGTAATAGTTGTATTTCAGTCCAACTAAAAGATTTAAAAGACTATCATAAAAAAGATAATCTACTTAAAGGAAATCAAATCAAACTAGGGTTTGTAGCTGAAACAAGACTGGCTGCTTTACGAAAGAAAGATATAATAACCATTGCTGATATTCAAAGTTTTCACAAAGATTGCACTAACATGTATGTTATATTGATTGAAAAGTTCATGGAGTGAACTCCACTAGGATCTATCATTGTACGCAATTCTCAGGTTCCTTTACCCAAATGCAATGGTAGCAATGACTCCAGAAGATGCTGAGAAGAAGTATAAATCTTTATTTCTTACTTGATTAGCTTGAAATATATTTCACCAATCTTTTCTGATAAAGCTTTAAATCAATTTTCAGATTTCTTTAGAGAATCAAGGGTTTATCAAGACATCTTTCATGAATTCAATCGAGAAAGAGATAGTTTAGACGATTTCTATTTAAAAAAATTTAATCTAAATAAATATAAAGAGTTTGCATTGACTGTTAAAATATTGACATGCCATGGACAAGTCTCAGTTGAGAGAGGTTTTAGTATAAATGCCATAGTACTAGAACAGAATTTAAATGAAAAATCAATAACTGCAAGACATTTAGTCAAAGATCATATGCTATCAAATAATCTTTAGCCACATAATATGTAAATTACAAACAAAATTATCATCATCGTAAAATCGGCACATAAAAGATATAGAAGCTACCTAAGTTCAATCGCAGACACTAACAAAAAAGAAGCAAGTCAATTGGCAAAAAAAGTTGTTAGCGATGAAATAAAAGATGTTGAAACAAGGCAACATCAACTGAAGAAAATCAGTGAAATGTGGCAGTTTGATTTTGTAAAATTTGTTGAGGAAGCAGAGGAGAAGCAAGATCTAGGGTTAATTTCTAAAGCTAATGCAATGAAACGAAAAGCAAATGAAAAAGTTACTAAAATAATATGCAATGAAACGAAAAGCAAATGAAAAAGTTACTAAAATAATATATTCGTTCTCACATGAAATTTTTATTTTGTTAACAAAACACATTAGTTTTTTCAAAATATATATAAAATGTTATTTTTTTAATATATTTCTTTTAGTTATCGGATTAATATGGCATTGTTTCTTGTTTAAAACACCGTTTTTTTAATAAAAAGCTGAATTTTTATTATTTTAAGTCAATAGAAAGTGCTGCAAATTTATTTCATAAAAGAAATAATTCGCTGTTATAATGGGGTATATAATATAATGGGTTCGCTGACAAGAGTGAAAAGAATATTTTAAGCAAATTTTGTAGTTTTATGTATAATGAATCTTTGTAGTTATATGTAATGTCAGAGAGTTATATAGTAATAAACTTTTGGCTTTGTTTTGACTCTACAATATACCTCTAAACAAGACTAAAACTTGTTATTAGATGAATTTCCTTTTTCTTTAAATCTAGGTGGAACCGAACTAATTTAGCACTAAAATATTTATTAAAAAAGAAAAATAAGATCAGATTCAGTTTTGTAAATTGATGATATGTACTTACAAAAAGTGTTCAAAATCATGGTGGTAAATTTGTTGGAAAAGATAAAAACAGAGAACTTTATTCAGGAGTTGTTGTTTTATGTTGGTTGCAATTGAACTTTTTATACCCTTTGTTGTTAAAACATGTCCTAAAAAAAGTTTGGTTAAAGAAAATTGGTTAATGATTAAAATTAAAGAATGTCTAATAAATCTTTTTGATGCTAATTTTAAAATTTGTGCTATCATCACAGACAAATATTCAATCAATACACTTGCATTTAAAAAACTTATTAAGTAGTACAACTCTATAGAGAATTTTTTTTTCAATTACAGGGTGGCCAGTGGTCCTTGAAAAAATCTCCTGGAATTTGATAGATCCTGGAAAAACCTTTCATCTATAAATGCTGAAACTTTTTTCTGAAAAAGTTCTTTCATAATTTTGTCTTTTTCTGAGTTATTAATATTGCTAAGATTTCTAAATTTGATAAGTATGTATTTTTTATAATTGTAAAAACAAAAAATTTTTGTTTTTGTTTATTGTTACTGTCAGAATTATTGTTATCTAATAATTATGCTTACTAATTTAATGAATATAATAATTATGCCTACTAATTTAAAGAAAGCTTGCAGACTTACTACAACTGGGTTACATCAAAGAAAGTTTACAAACTTACTACAACTGGTTAACATCAAGTTAAAAATAAACAAAGTGTTAAGCTTGTAAATATTCTGAGAATCAACATAATCTGCCATTTAAAGTTATTTCCTAAAAGGAAAAAGTACAGAAAAATAATGGCAAAAAAAAAAAAAAAGGCAGAAAAATAAGTGCTTTTAATTTCCTATATTTAATAAATGCTTGGTGGGTGATTTCAAATTCAAAGAATATATATAATAAAATAGGAAATAATAGTTGTAGTCATGATCAAATATTGTTGTAGCAAATGATCAAAAACATGAATTTTTAAATGATCTTGCTCAATAATTGATTGTTAAAATTGTTTACAGGAATGTCACAAATTGTCACTTTCAGCTCAGACATCAAATGCACTAATTGTTGCATTAAAATGAACTGCATTTTTAATCAAAATTTACTATTAGAAGGATATGATTAGATTTTAGGGATCGTCCATAAATTATGTAACACAAATTTTGACAATAAACCAAACAAAAAAGATAAAAGTTTTCTCGCATAGTCTTAATTTAAATAAAAAATCAAAATAGTTCATTAAGTTTAATGAAAATTGCAGCATTAAAGAGCTTATTATCTCCTACTTCTGTTTTTAAAATTTATTTTGCGTTACGTAATTTATGGACAATTCCTTACCCAGCAGGTTTTAAACTGATCAATTTGAAAAACATTTAAGGAAACTTAGGCAGATGAATGGTGGAAGGTTTCTAGTTAGTTTGCGTGAAGTTGAAAGTTTCGAAAAAATAATCAGCTAAATCTCTAATTAAAGAAACTCTGGCTTTGAATTAATGGTTTGGTAATGAAATACCAGTAAATAATGATGCAAAAAAACTAGAAACTGGTTCACTTTTATTACAAAATGAAATAAAATATGATTTATGTGAAAGTTTAAAGGAAGTTGTTATGTTGCTGGTTACATAACATTAAAACAATTTAATCTAAAAATTGTTTTTTCATTATCTTCTTCAACTAACAAAATATCTTCACTTCACAAATAACTTCAAACTAACAAAATATCTTCACTTTTTATGGAATTACTCTCACACTGTTAAAAAATTTGCAGTAGATTTCTGGCAGCAAAGTGACAGCATTTCTCAGTAAAAAACGGTTTCAGTAGTTTCTATTTTCCGTAAAAATCAAAAGAAAAAATCTGTAAAAAAGGATACAGAACTTTCTCCATAAAATTCACAGTTTCCGTATTTCATTTTTTCTGTACAAATTAACAGAGATTGTCAGGCAGCAAAGAGACAGCACTTTCTCCATAAAATTTATGGTTTCTGTATTTCATTTTTTCCACACAAATTAAAGAAAAAACTCCATTAATTCAGCAAATAGACAGTTACTCATTTTACAGAGTTTACGCGTAAGTAAAAAATAAATGAATAATATTTATATGTTGTTATAAAAATGTAATTTGACTATTAAGAAACTACTTGTATTTTAAATCATTAAGGTGGTCCTATACTAATAAAACCAAAATTTTAAAAATGCATTCATATTTTATGATTTTCATATAAGAAATAGTATTTTGAATTTAAAGCACAGTAAAGAAAAAAAAAATTAAAAAAATTTTTTTTTGGTCAAAATTTTGGGTCCATGGACCCTAAATATGGACTACGCGCTGCGATAAGCAGCCTGTAAACTAATAATGGTATGATCATGAAATTTTCACAGCTTTTTAATATCAGATGATTACACTCACCCTGGCAAAATCAAACAATTTAACAAACTATTGAAGCTTTTGTAAGAAAACCAGTTTAAGGCCTAAAAAAAGCCCCAAAAAGGCTTAGAACCTAGACCTTATTTTTAGAACCAGTTAACTAACATTAATTCTTTTGGTAAGGTGAATGTGCATATATATAATAAACAACTCCTGAAAATTTCAACACAATCAAACAAACCAATCTCAAGATATTTATCGCAGCGTGCAAAAAACTCATATATTGAGAAAAACAATAATAAAGATTTTTAATATAAAAAAAAAAAATTTAATATATAAAAAGGTCAAAAAATTATTGAAAACAAAACGACTTGAGCATTACTAAATACACAGAAAAAAGAAAAATGTGAAAATTCTAATAATTGAAAAAAATTTAACCAAAATAGAATTATTCAATCAATGAAAAAAAGCTTGAATATAAAAAGATAACAAACAATAACTACGTTAAAAAATACAATAACTGCCTTAACATAAATTTAATTAAAAAAGTAACAAAAAACTATTATCTAAAAAACTCCTGCTTCATAAGATACACCTTCACTTTCATTTACTATATCTGTAAAACCTTTTCGCTCTGCACGAAGCAGCTTTCTTTTTTGTTTTATTGTGTTAAGCAACTTTTTTTCCATCATCTTTATTCTTTCTTGGTCTATTTTGGTTTAGTACTGAGGCAAATGTACCTGGTGTAACATTTAAATACTCAAATATGTTTAATATACCTTTTGACTATAGATTTCATAAAACAATCTACAATTCCAGAAACTTCCATAGATTTAACAGAACCTTCGTGATTATTTAAGCAATCATGGGTTTCCAAAAAATTTTCATAAAGTTTTGGATCACTATCTTTTTTTGATTCCCATGATGTACAGGCATTGCATATTTTTGAAATAACTCATTAGTCAACACATTAGAGTCACTAGCAATAACAGTAACAACACCGTTAAGTGAGGAATGACCCCTTTTTTGCCAAGTTCCATTACAGGAAACAACAACATCAGCTATTACATTAATATCAAAATCATTTGGTTGGATATCATTGTTAAGAAATCAAAATTCATTTGCTGCATTTTTCATTTTCACATCAGCTACAATTTAATATATGATTTGAATTTTATCTTGAACATCATTAAATGCTTTTATGTTCATTGGAGGAGGTAAGTTCATGAAACCACAAAATTTTTCCAAACCAGAATGACTTTTTCCTATCTCTCTTATTGCAACAAAAAATCTACAATTTATTTCAAATAGTGACATTCCTGGACCTTGCTTTTCAATCTCTTTGCTAGAATAAAAAGACTGTTTCCAATCGCATGAAGGTGTTGCACAAGAAATGTTTAAAAACAATGCCAAGCCTTTCTTTTTTGATAAATCAGTTGAGATTTTAATTGAATTGTTATGGCATTAAGAACAATGTCCAATCAAAGTAACAATTGATTTTAAAATGTCTGTGTCAATAAGTATAAAGCATGAAGGCAATTTATTTGAATCATTAATTTTTGCATTACTATTTTTACTGCTATGTGATAACTTTTTTGAAGATGTTGATGTCAAGATTTTTGATTGAGTTAAGTTAGTGATTTCCGATTGAGAAGTTAAATTAATGTTAATTGTTGATGCTGAGGAAAATTGATTTCCTTTAAAGTATTTTTTTTTGAAAATCCTGTTACCGCCTGCTTTCCTTCTTAAACTTGAATCACATTTAATTTTTCCCATATTAAAAACAAGCACAGAGCAAATAAAGTATAACACGAGGCTGATAGTTTTTCTATAAGTAATATATGTAAACATAGTAATTGTACTTAAAGGTCATGGCTTATTTAGAAAAATAAACATGAAACAGTTACTGGCACCAGTGTCAAAAACTTATAGTAAATGGCGCAACACTCTAAAACACCTATTTTATAATATAAACAACTCGTTGCTAAGGCCGTTGCTAAGAAAATTATTTAACTTCACTATGAAACTTGCTATTTTAGAGCATTTTTAAATTTACTCACTATGATGATCTATATATATTTGGAA